ATGAAGTTGAACAAGAATGGGGAGAGTGGACATCCTTGTCTGACACCACTTTTGTAGGGAAGCTTTTGGAGAGCTCACCATACACCCTCACCCGCCCAGAAGTATGTGAATATAGAGATCGGATTATGTTTACAAACTTCTGGGGCACACCCCGTTGAGCAAGTGTAGTTAACAGAACTGATCGATCAACAGAATCGAACGCACCCTTGAAGTCAAGGAATACCAGGATTGTGAGTCGTCTGTACATGTGGCGTTGCTCTAACACCTGACGGAGTGTGAAGATGTGGTCAACGCAGCCTCTACCCGGTCGAAATCCCGCTTGATTCTCACGAGTCAAGACTTCGCGTGCCGCCATAAGACTAGGAAGAATCAATGACGCCAGAAGCCTTGTCACAACAGGCGTCAAGCTAACACCTCTGTGGTTGCTGCATTCACTGCGAGTGCCCTTTTTGAAAATGGGTACCACTATCGATTCACCCCAGTTGTCTGGGACGGTCTCATTCTCCCAGATAAACCCAAATAGGCTAGACAGGCACTGACTGAGGAATCCACCGTCATCCTTGAAAAAAGCAGGTGGAAGGTTATCAGGAACAGCAGCACGATGGCGCTTGAGTAGAGAAATGCATTCGGACACTTCTGAGACTGAAGGCGACTCCTCTATAAAGCTCCTGAGGCCACCGAGCCTGTCACATGAACCCTTCAAAATATTGATACAGGACTAGTTAAGTGCATATCCGCCTTATCAAAAGATGCAGTACTTACTTGAGCTGCCTCCACTGGGATTCTGGAAGGCATAAGTACCAGTGACTGACCTCTGGAAACGGTACCGGATTCCACCTTCCCCGTGACAAATATACCCATATCTTTGTATTTATCAGTGATAGGGATACGGAGTGGTCCATCCGTCTTTCGGCTTATGCTCGGGAGGGAGTCCAAAAACTCGAGTAGGGAAGGACCACGGTACCAGGAACAGACGGATTCGCTGGGAACATCGCGGAGGAAGGCGCCAGTGTACCCAGAGCAAGGCATAAAATGCACCTCCGTCCTCATATTGAATCCAACCTTTTTTAAAAATGGAATAATCTTCTCTTTGCACTCGTTATATCGAGCCTCATCCCACAAGACTGTTGGGTCATCCATTTTGTTGACAACGACGACTAAGTATTTCACACCAGCCGTCTTAACCAGCACAGCGTGTTCCCGAGTTTGGCCTCCCTTTTCAAACCCCGTCTCGAATTCCCCTCGACGGGCCGAAATAACCAGGATAGCCAAATCAGCCACCACTGCGCCGGAAATCATGTTTGGAACGAAGGATTTGTGGCCCGGAGCATCAATAAGAACGAAACGCTTTTTCTCTGTTTCAAAGTAGGCTCGTCCGCACTCGACTGTCTTTCCTTTATCGCGTTCCTCGGGATTGGTATCAAGCGCCCACGATAAGTACCAGGTTTCGCGGTTCTTCTCCTTGGCCTCACGCTCGTATTTTTCGAGAGTGCGCTTATCCACCATGTCTGGTGAAATAAAGTAAGAAAAGTCGAATAACTACCAGTGAGGTACAGTAAGTGTCCACCAATTGTTGACTTCCCGGCGTCTACATGACCAATGAAGACGAGATTAATCGTATCCTTGCGGGTGCTAGGGAGTTCCGGCACACGAGACAGCTGTGGTTGGAAAGAAGTATGCTAAGAGTACACAAACCTACCTCGTGATCACATGGGAAAATCTCATCATCTTGAGCTGGCGTGTCCCTTTCCATTGCTTTTATGCAGGTAATGATGAAATTTAGAAACTCACTCTCTCCTGGGTCTTCGACCGTATCGCCAGAGACCGGATACTCAGCTACAGGGTCTTCATCCGTCGTTGTGACAAGCGGTTGCGTTGCTTTCGGATGTATAACATAAGGCTGACCTGGTATAAATTCAGGTGCATTGATATCAAGGTTAGAAAACGAGGTCACAACCGAACTATCAACCTTAAGCTGTTCCTCCCATGAATTCATCGCGCCAAATGTGACTCGCCCAATCGTCCTAGACTTCAGTTCAATCGTAGTTAACAGAAGGCTCCGTGGGAAAACTGAGACTAATCGGAAGGTGCCCGATACTGTTTGCAGTTGCACAGTGAGCGGTCAAAAGTAGATAAGCAGCTCCTCGTCACCACTGGTGCGAGTGAATATGACGGCATTAGCAGCGTTTGTTGGAGCAAAATACAGCAAACATTGAGTAGTAACAGGCATATGTTTCAGTTTGAGGTATCATGGGTCGACCTCCGACTGGATGTCTGATACGCCTACATTAGTGGGGGGAACAGGAACCTGTGAATATGAAGAGCAAGAACTTGGTTGAACTGAGCTGATTGTTTAGGAGAACCAGAAATTCACGTCCGTAGGCAAAGTATTGCTCTGCCGTCGGTGCACTACATGCCTGCACGTACTTAGCGCGCCGTAACTTCTTTTTCTTGCACCTGTTATTATCCTCCACATCTGTCTTATATCACTGCTTTGCCGCTGAACAACTGGACGGTCCATGAACCAAGTTTAGCGGTGATAGTTTACAGGGCCGAATGGTTACCTACTGGATTGATCATCTATGCTTCAGTGAGCGGACAGCTTGCCCGAAACTGTGGCGTTTTTGTACCCTTATTTTACTTCCTTCAGTGAGAGCTTGCCCGAAACTGTGGCGTGTTTGTACCTTTATTTTACTTCCATTATAACACTAGGTATTTCATCAATTGCATAATCTAATCGTGTTTGAATACGAGAAACTACAAAAAACGCGCCCTTGTACAATTTCACATAATACAAGCGTGGTCACGTGCTTCGACTCTCTCTTCTGATTTCGCTCGCGCTTGCAGCGGTCATTCGCGAGTCTCATATACTAACTCTGGTACCCAAAACATTTCAGACTATTTTCGGAATCTATTATATGTGGAAACTGTTCAGAAGAAGACCTCTGGACCAACACTATTGGATTATTGTTTATTCGCTGACCTGGGCCAACGACGAACTATTTTAAAGAGAACAATTGTTAGTGAGTCTGTTCCATCTGACCTATTTATTTTTGTATACCCAACTTAGCGTAATTATTTTTATTACTTTGCCACACACTCCTGGTAAACTGACTTATTGGGTAGCCAGACCACTACAAATTTGGTGAGCCCGAGTATTTCTAGATATTTTTTTTAAAAACTTTTCCTTTCAAATCGTCGTAATTTTACTTCTTTTGCCCGGTAATCATGGAGGCACACTTTGACTCAGCGGAATTAGTCGAGAATGCAATTAGTATACGTTTACCAGACTATAATCCACGCAACCCAAGGGTATGGTTTCACCAGGTTGAGGCCGTTTTTGCCACCCGACGCATCGCTTCCCAAGTCACCCGGTTTTCCTATGTTGTCCAGCATCTTCCTTGTGATGTAGCAACAGAAGTTGAAGATCTGTTGGAAGATATTCCTAAGGAAAATCCGTATGACGCCCTTCGAGCGGCCGTCATAAGTAGGACAGGGAAATCAGAAAACAAAATGCTGCGGGATTTATTCACCACCGTCGAACTTGGGGACAGATCGCCATCACAAATGCTTCGCCACATGCGCAGTCTCCTCTGCGGCCGTAAGCTAGCAGAGGAGATCATGGCCCAACTATGGCTCGACAAACTCCCACCCTCCATGTCCCACGTCATCAGCGCTTTCGTTGATGACCACAGCTTAGAGCAGCTAGCCCGGATGGCGGATAAGATACACGAAACATACCCCAGTAACTCCGTAAACTCCGTCTCCCGCCCTGCACCCACTACAGATTCCGACCCGCTTCTTGCTTCTATATCGCACCTACAAACCAAATTTGACGCTTTGACCGATCGCCTACAACGGTTAGAGATCAACAGGCATCGACCACGTTCACGATCCAGATCGTCATCTCGTGCCCGTCTCCCTTGGTGCTGGTATCACCAAACTTATGGCCCAAAAGCACGCAAGTGTCAACCACCTTGTTCTTTCAAGCCGCGTTCCAACACCCCTTTAAACACCCCGGCCAGTCAGTAACGGCGACGACTGTCTGTGGCCCTCCTCGCACTAGTCGCCTGTTCCACATTACCGATCGTTCAAGTGGTCTACGTTTCCTCGTAGATACGGGAGCTGAAGTTAGTGTGCTACCACATAAGAATCCACTTCGCGATTCTCCTTCTTCCTCCTTACAAGCCGCCAACGGTACCCGCATCGCTACATACGGCGAACGTTCCCTCACACTTGACCTTGGATTGCGACGTGCGTTCAAGTGGATCTTTCTTTTGGCCGACGTCCAAAAACCCATCATCGGTGCAGATTTCCTGACCCATTACAGTCTATCTGTCGACGTGCGACACAAACGTCTTATAGACACGCTTACATCTCTCTCAGTCAACGGAATTAGTGCCCCAACTTCATCCACAGGTATCCGCGTTATCTTACCGGATTCACATTTTGCTGACATACTTAGGGATTTTCCAACCCTTACTCACCCATGTCAGTACACCCAACCGGTCACTCATTCCGTCGTTCACCACATTCAGACGAGAGGTCCACCTGTCCATGTCAACCCCCGCCGACTCCATCCGGATAAGCTACAAATCGCAAAACACGAGTTCGAACACATGCTCGAACTCGGCATCATCCGCCCTTCATCGAGTCATTGGTCATCACCCCTACATATGGTACCTAAGAAATCTAAAGGTGATTGGAGACCCTGTGGAGATTACCGTTCTCTCAACAACGCTACTATCCCAGACAGGTATCCCATCCCACATATCCACGATTTTGCAAGTACCCTATGCCATACAAACATTTTCTCCAAACTCGATCTCATAAGAGCATACTACCACATACCCGTAGCTCCGGATGACATTCCCAAAACAGCCATCACAACACCGTTTGGCCTTTTCGAATTCACGCGTATGCCCTTTGGTCTTCGAAATGCAGCCCAAACGTTTCAACGTTTCATGGACGAGGTTTTACGTGGCTTACCGTTTGTGTACGCCTACCTTGACGATGTTTTAGTCGCTAGCACCTCCCCAGCTGAACATACAGCTCATCTCAGAGCAGTGTTTGAACGTTTTTCCACTTACAACATACGTTTGAACATTGACAAATGCTTATTCGGTGTTACTAGCCTGGATTTTCTTGGCCACCACATTGACGCCACAGGTATTTCACCATTACCCGATCGCATTTTGGCCTTAGAGTCATTTCCCATGCCCACAACTATCACTCAACTTCGTCGTTTCATTGGTATCATCAACTACTACCGGCGATTCATCCCTCACTGTGCAGATATTTTGAAGCCACTGACCGATTTACTTGGCTCCAAAGAGAAATCTGTTACTTTGCACCCCGCCGCCACTGCTGCTTTCGAAAGAGCCAAGCACGCCATTGCTCAGGCCACAAAGTTATCTTTCCTCGATACTCACGAGAGCACAAAGCTGATTTTGACAACTGATGCTTCGAATGCTGCCGTCGGTGCAGTGCTTCATCAAGTTGTTAACAACACACCTCAACCACTAGCGTTTTTCTCGCAGAAGATGCAGGCTGCCCAAACGCGTTACAGTACTTTTGGTCGTGAATTACTCGCAATTTACCTTGCTATTCGCCATTTCCGGCACTTGTTAGAGGGTAGATCGTTTACCATTCAAACCGACCATAAGCCACTCACATACGCCTTCAACGCCAAGCCTGATCGATATTCACCACGCGAGATACGCCATCTGGATTATATTTCACAGTTCACTACCGACATTCGGTACACTCCAGGTTCGGACAATGTCGTCGCAGACGCCTTATCCCGTCCTGACATAAACGCTCTTCACCCTTCCACGCAGTTGGACCTAGCCAAGCTGGCGAACCTTCAAAACACTGATCCTAATTTTTTGCCTATTCTATCGTTCCCTTCATTTCAAGTCTCTTCAACTCCGTTACCCCTCCAATCCGGAGCCATTTTTTGTGATATGTCTACCGGATCAGCTCGCCCAATCGTACCCGAAGCTTTCCGACGCGTTGTTTTCGACCACTTCCATGGATTTTCTCATCCAGGAATCCGAGCAACCAGGAAGTTGATTAGTGCACGTTTTGTATGGCCCTTCATGAATAAGGACCTGACATCCTGGGCCAAACAGTGCATCGCCTGTCAACGCACTAAAGTAACTCGGCATACGAACTCACCTATTGGTTCATTTGCCGTTCCTGATGCTCGGTTCACACACGTCCATCTCGATATTGTTGGTCCTCTTTCCCCATCAAGCGGTTTCACTCATATCCTTACCATGATTGATCGTTTTACCCGTTGGCCAGTAGCTGTACCCATTTCGGATACTTCAGCTGAAACAGTTGCTTTTTCATTTTTGCAACACTGGGTTAGTAATTTTGGTATACCTTCCACCGTTACTACGGATCGCGGCTCACAATTTCAGTGTAATCTCTTCCGTGAGTTTTCTACACTATTCGGTTTCCATCACATATCGACTACCGCGTATCATCCCTGTTCCAACGGTCTGGTTGAGCGTTTCCATCGCTACCTCAAAGCTGCATTGACTGCCCAAATGAACCCATCTTCATGGTCCTCTTCTTTACCCCTCATTTTGCTTGCTATTCGCTCCACTATTAAGGAGGATCTTCACTGTTCCCCAGCCGAACTAGTATACGGTACAACTCTACGTCTACCCGGTGAACTAGTTTCCCCTTCTGGCGCACAGCCCGAATCACCCGTCACATTCGTCAGCCTTCTGAAACAACATATGGCCGAACTTCGTGCGACACCTACCAGACGATCAACGCGAACGGAGCACATCTCAACCGAACTCTCTTCTACACCATTTGTATTTGTCCGACATGACGCAACGAGGAAACCCCTCCAACCTTGTTACGATGGCCCCTTCAAAGTTATCGAA